AATCAGCGTATTTTCGGCCAGGACCACCCTTCTGGCGTATCAAAATGGGTGCCAGCGCGGCTTGGGAAGGGGTCGATGCTGTGTGTGCGAATCTTTCCCTCCAGTATGCTTGAGGTTGGGCATGCGTGGAACTGGCGAATCAACCGCTCCGGAGAGCACTGGGACCAGCTTCTGGAGAGTATGCCTAGGGTCCCCATCGGGACAAGGGCCACAGTTGCGAGGTGTGGTCGTCCTCCCCATGGGTTTAGGGTTGGACCTGTGGGGGTGTCGTGGAACAACTCCTCCGGCAGGGGTCGGGACCACCCTGCCGGAGTTTTGTCTGGTGTCCCAACCAGGATTGTGGCATCAGCCGCGAATCCACATGTTGCGCAGGTTAAGTCCGTGTCGGTGTGCACTCAGGTCCAGGAGAGCGACTTGGAATGGCTTCCTGGCGTGCCCTCGGTGGTGACCGAAATAATGGCGGAGACTGCCTCGGCAATGAGAGTAGAGGCAGCTGAAGTCGTGCAGGTGCCACAGCCTGAAGAGGTCGTCGAAGCTCAGAACACACTTTCGGCTGCCGGGCCGTCTGAGTCCCCGGGAGCGTCTAACGATGCTCCCGACGAAGTCAGGGTCCTTCTGCCATGGGCTGCCTCGGGATGCCCGCTGTGTGGGGTGCAGGTGACGGGCATCGTTGCGCTTGAGCGGCATTTCGCCGTTCGGCACGCCGGTGTTTCGGCCCTGTACGTGTGTGGCAGGTGCGGGAGGTCCAACGCCAATAGGCACTCAATATCTTGTCACGTCCCCAAGTGCGGGGGCGTGGTGGGTGTTGAGGGGGAGCAGGCGCGCGGGTTCGCTTGCGAGTTCTGCGATGCATGGTTCACCACACCTGTTGGTGTCTCCCAGCACAAGCGACATGCCCATGTGGCGGAGTGGAACAGGGTTAGACTGGCGAGAGGGAAGTTGCCAACGAAGGGGATCAAAGCGACGCGGCTATGGAGTGTGGAGGAGGTGCGGATGCTGATCCGGATGGTAGGTGAGCATGGGGACTCCATGGCTACCTACAGGCTTATAGCGGAGGAACTGGGTGGAGACAAGACGGCCGAACAGGTGAGGAGCAAGAGGAGAAACCTGAGTATCGACATGGCCAGTGATAGCTCACACGAAGCTGAGGACGAGGATGACGCTCCGGCGCCAAACCTCGGACCTCAGGCTGCACAGTCCTCGGTACGGTCACCTCAGATCCTGTCTTCGGACAGGATCAGGGAGGTACTGGAGTCGTGGGGTGACAGAGAGGGTGGCGAGGAGGTGAGAGCTATCGCTGCTTGGATCAGGGACGCAGATCAGGACCCTTTACTGATCGAATCCTCAGCGTCTGACATCATTTCGAAGCTAGGTAGGAGGGTGGAGGGGGCCAGGATGGCCCGGCCGCCCGTTCGTGAACGTAACCTGGGGACGGACTGGGAAAGGCGCCTTTCCC